GAGGTGTGGTGCTGCATCAACCCTCGTCTGGCGGCCAATCACATCGTCCGACGGGCGTGTGCGCACTGTGATTGGTGGAGGGTTGGCGCCACTTCCTTCCTGGCGAAGCCGGCCGTCGACGCGAGTTTGATTCGCGTGTAGTCATCACTACGTTGTGGTCTTAGCAAAGGAAGAATTCAAACATTTATTCCCTCGGGTCTAAGCGCTCGACAAACGACCGAAGGTGTTGCGCCTAGCACGCGCTTCGGACGGTCGCGACACTGCATCTCGTCGCCATCGGTACTTCCCAATTAGTGAGCTACGACTGTACACAGTCGTAGCTCACTGATTGGAAACCGCCCGCTCGTTTTTGATACTGAATGATCCCGACCTGTTCCCGGATTGCTTTGACACCAGAATTTCAAGGGTTATCGACTGTTGTAATAGATCTTATCGAAAAAGGCGTCGTAGTTCATGTGCAGATTGCTACTGTGCTATACGGGATCCCATCATTTGTACCGGTAGCGTGCTCAGTACGTTCGTACATATGTGTATCATCTAGCCCTCGCACAGCAGAACATTAGTGGGTGTCAATGACTGTACAACTTGTCTCTTGCTGAAGACGCGTCAGATGCATCAGATGCGTCTCTGCGCCACGCTCGTCTTTGCCGCCGGTGTCTCCTCGCACGCGCTGAACTAATACCTATGGTAGTGCTGCAGAATCGCCACATTATTACGTGTGCCACCACCAGCAGACTACACCGTTTTACTGGTACAACGTTTAGCGAGATGCTTAGTCTTCCTCATGCCAGCACCTGCTTGAAGAAGGACGTGACCACGGATGCGTACTGCTCCGGCGCATGCGTGTAGAGGGAGACGTGCTTGGCGAGGGCAAACTCTTCGACAACGACGCGCGTGCCCGCGTCCTTGGCGCGCGCAATCGCGGCCCGAATGTTGGCGGGAGAGACAATATTGTCCTGCGGCGAGAACAAGAAGAGCTTGGGCACGTGCGCTTGGTCGACCAAGTAGCGCTGCCAGTGCTCCTCGAACGCATCGTTGGAGCGCGAGAGGGTCGGGTACCACTTCATACCAATAAGCATAAGCCGCGTGAGGAAGCGCATGCGAAGCGTCGGCAGCTCGTCGGTCGCTGGCCACGCGTAGTCGGCGGCGTCCCGGACGTTGGTACTGGGCGCCGAGTCAAATACCATCGCAGGCACCGTGTAGCGCCCATCGGCGTCGCGGAGAGAGCGCTCGACTGCGTACCACGACCGACACCCGCCGTTCGAGAGCATGTGCGGGATAAGCTCTAGCGTGTCGGCCGGCGACTGCTTGAGCGGCGCCAAGAGAGTGGCGACCGCCTTGCGGTGCAGGAAGCGCGCCGGCTGGAGCAGGTCTGCGCCGCCGCTGAGAAGCACGACGGTGTCGTAGCCGAGCTGCTGATAGAGCTCAGCGTACTTGGCGACCGGTCGCGCCTTGGCGCCGAGCCAGCCGCAGACAACGACGACCCGCTTCGTGGTCATTGCGCACCTTGAGAAATCTTGCAGATGCGTCAACATTTCCGACGGGCCAATCAGCGCACGTGGTGTCGATCGGCGTGATGTGATTGGTGCGTTTGGATCATATCTTCACAACCAAGGATCCAAAATCGTCTATCCGGAGAGTGTGCGATTTTCCAAACTTACACTGTACCAAGCACTCGACTAGCAACAGATCCATCAGGTCTACCGACTATATATATATGTCAAGATTGCAAGGGCTACGTCGTCGATCGGCGGCGTCTCTGATCCCTTCGTGGTACTTGCATACCTGGTGCATGAAGAGAGTCGCAACTTCCTCCTTCTTCACGCAGGCGGCAGCGCTTGCTCCTCTGGAGTCGTCTATGGTCCATGACGACACGCTAAGGCCTTCCAAGCGTCGCGATCGGGAAAAACACCCACGACGCTAGCGTCAACTGTTGAGCGAGCGAGGTGTCAAACAGGCCAAAGCGAGCATGCTCGCACGATCCAATTGCGTCAACCGTCTAGCTTGCCTTGGTCATAGTAATATATGCGCTGAACCACTCGAGCTGTTGATGGTGGACCTCAAATGCAGAAGCGGCGCGCGTGCGGCAGTCACGGGCTGCGTCACGAACGCGTTGCAGAGTAGCCTCGGTCGGCCACCGAATCAGTAGCACGCGTTGCTCACGCAACTCTGTTTGGCTCGACTTCTGCACGGCAAGGGCAAAATTGGTGCTGCTTGCTGCTTCCAGCGCCGCCGCCCTCCGTTGGGACACCACCGACCCCAAGAGCCTCGAGAAGCGCCGGCTTGAGACGCAGTGAACCCCTACGGCTGCGATGACCACCTCTTGCATGACGCGTCGTCGTACTCACCTTTTGCGTGCAACGAGTATCTTTCGATCCCATACAGTGTACACTACAGTGTGATCCTCCCAGCGGACGGGGACTGCGGGCCTTATAGGTCGCGCGACTGCGTCTACCTCTGGCGCCACGCTGCGCGCGCCGGCGATCGCGCCCGGCATCGGAGGGCTGGGTGTAGCAGCATCGTTGGCGCCACTTTGGCCGATCATTGCGCGTTTGATCCTTGCGATCGATGGCGTTGACTGCTGCCTTCAACAGTTGAAGGCCATCCACACCGCAGTTGGTAGCAGAACGCAATTCGCCTCGACCCAAGCACCGCCATGTCCTCTACGAAGCGCGTCGTCGTCGTGGTCTGCGGCTGGATGGGCGGCTCGCGGCGCTCGGTCGACAAGTACGCCGCCGTGTACACGCGGCTCGGCTACAAGGACGTCGTCGTTGTGCAAAACTCGATGCTCGACTTCTTCAAGCCGGACGCGTCGGTCCACGCCGAGACGGCGGCGCGACTGCGGCAGCTCGGCAACGACTGCGCGTTCGTGCCGCACCTGCTCTCGAACGGCGG